ATTAAATTGACTTTAAAATCTCAGCAGATCCGTATTCTGTCTTGTCTATTCCTAGTAGTCATGGGCCCTTTTCTATGCAGTGTTTGAGAAGGGTAAGACCTAGGCATCAAAGACTGATTAAATCTGGCAATGGAGGGTTTACTACAACAACATGCAACATGTTTCCTAAATGTGAAGCTTCTTATAAAAGTGGTGCTGAGAGAAATGAGATTTTGTACGCATCTCTAACGCTTTATTTGTAGTGTCTCTGCTCAGCAGTGAATCACTGTTCTTCAGTGCATTTCTTAGCGGAGCAAGAGCCCCCTGGGTATGCAAAACACCTCCCACAGCTACTCGAGAGCCTGGGAAGAGCTGTGCCTTACAAAGTGAGTTCCAGATTCGTTATAGGCTTCTCAGGCTCTGGTGGCTTTTAGGAATGGTCTGAGAGAGATAACTAAAGGCAGTGCTGGTGTTGGAGGGGTAGGCGGTTTTCATGCAAAAGCTCCCTTGCCACTACGCCCAAGAGCATATCAAAATGAGGACAGTTACCAACCTTTGTGCAGACAAGCCCCACAAAAAAATCAAAATTGATGTCAGTATTAGACGCTGCTAGAGTACGTGCAGATACAGGCAGGGTTCTGGAGCACAGCAGTAAAACAAACTACACCTTTCTTTGCTATACCACCCTTGGAGTAATCACCTTAAAAAGCTCAAAAAAGACGACCCATTTGCTTAGCCTGTTGGGGGAGCCTAAGCCTTTCTTAGTGACTGGGATTACATGTTTCAATCCACAACGTGGAGACAGATTCCAGGGAAAGGGGTCTGGGGAGGATCAGGCTTGATACAGGTGCTGCAGCTTGAAACACAAAGTAAAGCCGTCCAGCTGCACGTCAAACGCAGGCATACATGGGGCAAGGTCTGGCTTTTCTGCAGGGCTGGTAACATGAGCATTCACATCACTCGCTGCCTTTGAAGCTTGCAAAATCCATAATGGCCACAAAGTGAACGTGTAGCGACTACACTTCAATTACCAAAGGCTGGTCAAGTACCTGCCTTTATTCTTTCCGGTAACAAAACTCCCATCAACTTCAAAGGCCCCAGGGTTTACTCCACTCTACGAATGCTGTCCATTGAAATCAGTGATGAAAGCCTGGGATGAGGTATTTTAGCTTCTGAAGGTGCAGACAGAGAGGCAGGACTGAGCTCTGATGATGAGGCTCTACAGCCTGGATTTGCTCTGCAGCTTCATGTTAATAAACTAAGGTTGATGTGCCAACTAGTAAACTGTCGCAGAACTCCATGGATACTTTCTGAAAATACCCTAGTTCACATGAATTTCAATAGGAGTTAGGTATCCAACCTGCTTTGCTGCTGTTAGAAAAACCACTAAGCACCTGCTTGTCTTTTTAGGCATGTCAATCCCTTTGAAATTCTTGCTTTGACCAGATCAGAGGCTTGTACAGCACCAGGCTGCCCGGTGGCAACCTTCAGTTCCCACTAGCAGGGTTTTGACCACAAATAGGGACTCACAGTCAGGCTGCTCAGGGGTAAGTGAACCATGAAGTTGGACATGAGTCACCGGACTTTAAGTTATGCACATGAAAGCTTTGAAACATGTTATATTCATCCAAACATCAACTGTTTTCACAGTGTTTATGATATTAGGAGCCTTTTTGTTCATGAATGTACTTGTTTGCTTAAAGTGAATAACCGATACTTTGTGACTGAAGAATGCTGTACGTGCCTTTTTATAAAGAAAGTTTGCCAGTTTGGAAAGCTTGCCTTGCAATGAATTGATAGGTTTGGAAAGGTCAGAAAGAATATTTGATCCTTTAGTCTGATTTCTTACATACATCCCGCAAGCTATTGTCACACTTGTGTTAAGACCAGTATCTTCAGTTCCACAGAAATATAATTTCTACTAGTCAAAGTCCAGAACGGCGTCCAGTCTGACACCACGAGTGTGGTATTCGTTATTTTCACTAGCACAGTTGCTTTATGCCTATTACTGAGCAGGCAGATAAATGAGAGCTTCCCTAGTTATGTTCAAATGTCAATATTATTGAGGGGCAGGATTTCAGAAGGAGCTGTCTGTTGTGGGTGCAGCTGTTTGTCTGGAAAGACCTCTGTCTGTATTTTTCACCCACAATAAATTGCAGACACAGATGTTGCTGGTTAGTATCTGCCAACCTGTCTGAACTTGTAAAGCAAGTAATTAATTGCTGAACTATTAGTATTTATGGTTTATTTGAACTGAGGGCACACCATCACACCCTCAGAAACGAAGGCTCAGCTGAGGTTTAGCTGAAAATCAAGCCTTCAGCATTATCCAATGGTCTTTTCATCCTTAAAGGAGAAATCACCACTCAGCCTCAACTTAGGTGAATCCTATGCTATTGCTGTGGCCCTAGAGGGTGTTTTGATCTCTGCTACGTTTCACTATGTTGCGAAGGAGACCGGATGCTACAGCTGCATCTGGAGAGCCTGGGAGTGCATTTCAGTAGATCGGGGTGCTTAACCAAGGGATGCATTTGGAGATGGTAGCACAGGCCTGGAGAACATGTGCAGTCTCAGATACTGAAAGGGTCTTCTCCTAGACAATGGCAGTAAGCTTGCAGGAGATCACGCTGCTATTGGGTCATCCTAAGAGCGCAGGGAGAGGGAAAACCCACTTTTTATTGTTGGCCATTGTACCTGATGTGCTGGAGGGAGAGGGATCTACAAAGCAAAATGTGAGCAAAGGTTTTCTTAACTGTGTGTGGCGGGGGGAGGGTTTGCCTTTGTTTTGTTCTTGTTGCTAACAACGTCAGATGGGTCTAACTTTCCAGCCTGCTCAGGATGAGACAAACAGCCAAGGAAGCATCAAAGTGAATGGGTGTTTTTTGATCAACGTTGGAGAGAGTTTGTTTTCTTTCTCCACTTGCCCAATGACACACTAACTTGGATGACTGGTCTGTGACAGAGCTGGTTGGAAAATGTTAGTGGAAAAATGCAGAAAAAGAGCAAATATTTTTACAAATGGTAGTGACAATATTTTTACCTTTGGTCAATCCAAATCAACAGGAAATTTTTTTCAGTACAAGCAGTTTGAAACTCACTATTGCCAAAATGTATACAAGGGGTGAATATGCATGAACACTGGTTAAAAAAAAAAAAAAAAAAAGGGTGTTCCTGGGATGAATATGCAGTAAAATTGCATCTAATCTAGTAGCTGGAACATATTATTAGCAAGATTCCTCTCCTACCCAGTGGTTCATGTATATGCCTGCCCTTTGCACAGTGTTTTCTTTTAGAAAAGAGCTGTGAAGGAGACAGCTTGCAGAAACACATGCTGGTCCAAGCACTTGTGTACACATAACCATCCCCAATGGCTAGCTTGCAGCCCTCTCTAAAGACAGCTTTAAAAAACTGGTGGACTTTTAGAATTAAGGCAATAAATGCCATCCTAATTCTGTCAGCAAGTTTCCTAGTAGGCACCTTGCCAATCAGGAACTGAAGGAAAACTTCCCTGGCATCAGTTTGAGGAAGGACAGTTACTCTAGGAACGTTGTTTCCCAGCTTGTCTCTGGCAGCTCCCCAGCGCGCTGGCAAAGCCTCTTCATCTGCCAGCCCACCTTCTGCTTCTTCTCTAACAGGAATGAAAAGTCATCCCCGAGGGCTTGTACCTGTATAACCTCCTCAGACATACAACAAAGGGAGGCTTCTCTCTCTGCAAGCACCTAAGAAGGAATAAACTTAAATGCTTGTGATGAGCAGGATGTCCCTTGGGTTATACACACATATATGGCTTTTTGCCTTCTCCATTAAGAAAGCCTAGTAAAATATATACAGTTTGAACTATTATTGTTTGATAAGATAGGTTAATACTAACACAGACCAAAAGCCCTGTAAATCATAGCGTCATTAGAAATTTCATGAGAACCATGAGTTTCGACGCATAAAATTGAAATTTCAGATGAGGAAGAGAGCACATGAGTGTGCGAATAATTTTACCATATAGAAAAGCTAGTAGAAATTCTTACCACTTTAAAATATTGATAAGGTTTTCTATCATATTTCTAATGGATGACAAAATGCAAAATTTGATTTCTTTTTTTGCATTTTTGTTAGCTGTTATAAAAATATAAAGCCAGAATCCCGATTACACTGTTTTTTCTTATCCTTTTGGAATTTTCCCTTTGCGATCTCTAGTGTTTCTCTTTACCTAAACTGAAATTAGGGCTGTAGCATTATTACTACGTATTTAGTAGTTCTAGAGAGTAACTTCTGACTAGCCTGATTATAAAATACTTTCCATGAAAATAAACGCAGTCTCATTTTTGGTAGGACTTATATTTAAAAGAAATATGTACAAACTCAACTAAGTGCCTTTGATAAACAGTTCGGGGTTGCTGATTAATTGGAACTAAAAACAGATGAGAAAATTAAACATATGTTCTTATTCACGCTCCCTGGAGGATTTGTCAGGGAGCTTGGCATACATTAATAATTGCTTGGAATAGATGTAATAGCTCATCTTGTAGTTTTGCACACACAAAACAATCAGTCAATATAAAGAGCATGGTGTCATCTGTCTTTGTTAATTAGGGATCTCAAATGCCTTTCTTAATAAAGGCTAATAATTAAGATACAACTAGAAAGGAAGCACTCAGATGTGGTTTTGCCACCTCAGGGTCCATTAGCAGCAGGAGGAAGAGGGTAGGTCTTTCCAAAATTGAGAGATACTTTGAGTCTGCGATCTTTTTTGGCACTAGATACGTGTTCAGACACACAGCATTTGCTGCCGGCTGCTCCACGGGGACCGTGCTCGGGCCGGCTGATGGTCGACCCCTTCTACCTTCAGCGCTGACTACGTTAACATTTATTGAGACTCCACTGGGTAATCCGGACACCTACAGCCAGTTCTTAAGACACTTTTGCTGACGCTCTGGCACCAGCATTTCTAAGCATATCGGACATAACTCTTTGAAGGAATACGCTCTGCTTTAGGTTTCGTCCGTGTGTCCCTGTTGATCACTCACCTTCCCGGGTGCTCCTGGAGTACCTGGTAGACGCTAATCTGGAACGTCTCGTTATCAAAGCGCTCGCGGATGTAGTCCTTATATATCCTGAACTCGGCAGCGGTCACCGCTTCCCCCTCCGGGATTCTGGAGAGATCAAACCTGAACTCGCGGTAGTGGCAGCGCTGATGGTGAAACTCGCGGTCATGCTCCACTGGAACGGAAAAACAGCCCATTAGCCACCTGCGTTGTTCGCTCTCCCCAGCCACCAAACATGCTGTGAGTCGCCACAACAGAGCAAGCAGGAATATCTGATCGCGCTATCTCACTCCGCTGTTTGGTTCGTTAAGGCACCTATGAAGTACATGACCGTATCAGGGTTATTATAAGTATAGATCTGTTTATTAGACTCTTTGAAACAGTTTTATAACTGGCTGGTATAGGGTGTGGGTGACCGTTGTCTTTTAATGCTTTTGGCAGCTTCGTACTTGACAACCGACTCTGGACGCTTGCCACCGATAACGGCCAAGCTGCTGTGTGAAGGATCTCAAAGAAACAGATGGGGCTTTTCAGAAGTGCTGGTTCTCGCCCTAACTCTGCTTATGAAAATTAAACACACCCACACGTGCGCACAAATTCCAGTCCTTGAGCCTCTTTCCATGCTGGTGACCCACACCCTGAGCCAGCGGGAACCAGAGTCCCGCTCCGCAGGGCTGAAGCTTTCATCTAAAAGCATCTTTGGTGATCAGGGCTGTGAAGCAAATGTTCCAAGCGAGCAACTTCTTCAGTCCACCAACAGCCCCTAACAGTGACCTTGCAATAACAAGAGCTGCTAGATTCCTCCGGTACATGTTGGGGCAGCCCGTTATGCCAGCGAGTGATAATCCTGCCTGTCATGCTGATCTACAACTGGTTGTCTTGTGTAACGCTGCTCTCGTGAATAGTGAAGCAGATGGTTAGTGTTGTGAGGAAACAAAGATTTCAAGACTGTCCTCCAATAAGCTTCCCCAACCCTGCCGGCAACGGGGAGGAGAAGTGTCAGCGCCCCATCCAAACACATAAAAGCGAAGCACCCTTCTCTGAAGAAATTCCAAATTAAACAGACAAGTCAGACAAAGGAAAATGGGGAAACAGAGGTATGAGGGGGTGAACCACCTCGCCCGAGGTCACACAGCATGTCGTTTTGAGAGCCGAGGTTTGAACCAAGGGCTTCCCCAATGTCCCAGTTCCCTTGTCTGTCCACTTGACCTCCCTGCAGCTCGAACGCACAATTCAAGTAGTTAGCTCTGAGGTTTTCTTGGCAAAGAATGTGTGTCTTTCTACAGGCCCGATTCTCTTCTGGCAGCAGTAAATCCATTGTGTAAATCCATTGACTTAAATGGAATTACTCCTGAAAAAGAGGAGTTTCGAGCCCGAGTCTGTGAAGCGCTATTTAAATTTAGTGCTACACCGCACAAATGTGCACTAGCATCAGTGATTAAGCACACACAAGTCCCTCCCTCGTGGTGGGGATGGAGCGTGGAGAGTCTCCTGGAACCACCAAATGTTCAAACGCACACACAGGGCAGGTTCGATAATGTTTTACTGGCCGAGATTCAGCAGCTGGCTACAGACTCCCCTTCATCTCGCACGTTATTTCTGCTGGGAGCGCAGGGCTCTCCGTTGGCCGCTGTATGATAGCTGCTCAGGGATATAAATACTTCAAAGTTCTTGCTAGTAGCTGGGATTCATCTTAGAGGAGTGTTTTAGGCATTAAACCCCTAAGCTCTCCAAGACAGAGGCAATTAAGTTCAGCAAATGCTTTTATAGGCTGGGCAGTCCTAGCAAGCATCGGATGAACAATGTTATTGTTCCACTCCTAGCTCTAACATCTAGTGCAGCCTTAAGAAGATCACTTAGTCTCGCGTACCCTCAAGTGGGGCATATTGTGAATATTTGTCAGTGTTCGTAAAGCACTTGGCAGGCTAAAACTGCCCCGTAAGTGTTAGCAACGCTATTAAATGCGCCTCAACCGCTTTCTTCCCAAATATTCCCAACAGAATAAGATACAAAGAGTATGATTTCAGTCTCAAAGGAATTTGTTCATGCCTAAATGATAGAGGGGAGTAAAAAAATATTTTAGTATGGAGCAGCTCCTTTAACCACAACTATAGAAGAATGAACATGGGTGTTTTTAATTATATTACAGATAACATCACCAGCACGGTGTATTTCAGAGCTCTAACAGTAGGACATACATATACAATTTGCTTCCAAAAACATGGGATGGCTGAATTTTCAAAGAAAGGTGGGTATACCTTCTCAGTGTACACATGCAACGGCAACTCTGTTGGCCCACACCAGTCACTAGCTGTGCTTTGTATGTGTAGCCTGACAACAAACACACGAAGATAAAACTTTTTCAGGTGCTGCTAGAGCCCACAGTGATTTCCACTCTAGAGCCCTAGAAAAATGTGTCATATTAGTCTGAAAAATTAATGGGTCAGGGTCATAAAATAAAGATCCCTGAAGTCTGAACTTTCCCATGCTTTGCAGATGTTTGGATATAGGGTTTTGGGTTGAGCCATCTTTAGTGTTAAAGCAAACATTCCTGTGGCTATAGTCATTAAGATCATGAAAATATGTGGATATGTAACTGAAGAAAGAATCCCAAGAAACCCTTCAACTCAGTGTTTATTGTTTTTCCCCTTTTTCTTTGCACTCTGGACCTATCTGCTGACCCAGAAGTAACAAATCCTTTCAGAACTAATTTATGAGAAACACTGACCCTGAATCAACATCTGTTAGATGACTGCAGTAAATCTTATTACATAATTAAACACCAAAATCTATGTTAAAATATCGTTAAGGGTCTGACTTGAACTCATAAAAGCAAGACTCTTCATTATGAAGGTTGAAATCCTATCCTTAATTCATGCTGCTGTGCTTTGGTATTTGTGAACATATGGTACACTGTATATGATCATGCACTTTTTGTAGACCCCAGTAATACCTTAAGCACAACAGCATGAGGCAAGCAGGGGAGTGCTCAAGAAGTCGGAGTTTCCTGGGTTTGACGGGTGTTAGTCAGGCCTTTGACAATACTGCAGAAGGGTTGTTTCCAATTAATTACCTGAGGAGTTTGAATAGGGGAGTGTTTAAAAAAAAAAGGAGGGGGGCAATGGTATTTTAAAAATGTTCCCTGAAACAGTCAAGAGAATTGCTACAGCACTCTGAGTAGGGCTACTTTCTCCATTAAGTCTATCGAGTCTGTGATCCCTATGGACACAACATACCATAATAAGAAACTTCTGGTCATTCTTAAAGGACTTAATCTCAGTTGTTCATCAGCCATTTGAAAAGCTCCCTTAGAAGTCATCACAGAATACGAAAATTTGCTGGATGTAGTTCATAGTCTGTTTGCCCAAAGAACTTAAAACTCATATCTGTCCTAGGTTCACAGTTCTTGCAAAGCGTTACCACCCAATGGTTTTTGGCTAGTGGTTTTAGTATAGTTCCTACTGGGGAGGCTCCTAATTTCAAACATTGGAAATTCTAGCTCAGCAAGTGTCACAATTCAAATGCCTTGGCAAGGCAGCTGCTTGGAGAGGAAGCCAAAGCTTTGGATGTGGCATCAAAGGACGTAAAATAAGAGAAGGAAGAACACCCCTGAAAAATAATTCTGCTATGAAACAAGACAGTGTGCCTTAACTGTGAGAAAACAGTGGATTTCTTCCACTGAAAGAAACAATTTAAAGTGACTCACAGGTGACTGCATGCGTAAATGCACCTCTCCATTTCTAGAAGCAGTCTTCCACTTTGGGGGTATAACCTCTGCATACAAATTATGACCTAATTTAACATAGGGCTCAAAATCTGCCGGTGCAAAAGAGCTGTCGGACCAAAAGCAGCATGCTAAGTGTGGCAGTTAATCGTGACTATGCTAGGTGGTAATCATCAGATGCTCCTATTGGTATTGTCCTTTTGGCTAAGGAAAGTCCAAGAAGACGAGGCTCTAGAGCTGCACCACGGAGATGGACAACAGATTCCTGAAAGTATAAGCAAAAACGACAAAAAGTGTGCAGGGCAATTAAGGTGATCCAAACCGAACAAGCACGTAGTCTTAGGTTAGTGGTTATCAGTAAATTTGCCACACCTTTGTTGCAAATATGCAAGTACACTCAGCATCTTTGAAAGTCTGGCCTTGGCTATCTGTCCACAATCTGAATACTGCACAAACAGCAATCATCCATCTGATACAGACAGGGCTTCTGATCTCCCCGAAGTCTTTTGTTTCTCCAAACCCACTCTGTTGTGGCTTTGCAGTGATGCAAGAGGAGGCAATACGGCATAGTTGTGCAACAACAGTGACGGTTAAAAGAAAACATGATGGATGCATGTGCTGAGGTGTGAGGCAGCCAAGTATCCCATGCAAAAATATGGGAAAAGTGAAGATAAAATGCCGAAGAATCTCTGGTACTTGTTTTGACATGCCCTAAAGTGTACTCTTTTTTTATAAGGAGAAAACATTATAGTGGTTAAAATTTAGAACTGATGGCAATACAGCTGAAACCAGGACCAAAAAGGAAGACTAGGTAGAAAAGCCAGTGATCCTGTTTTAACACCCCAGGGAGCCCAAACTTCTAAAGCAGATGATACACCAGCAGAACGCTAGGAAAATTAACTCATCCTATGTTTGGTCATTTTCACAACAAAATATGTTGAGACCATAAACTGGGTCCCAATTATTTTAAACTCCTTTCTAAATCACTACTGATAAATTAAAAGCTGATCTGAGCTAATGCTGCAGTTGTTAGTTGGACCACTGGTTTTGTCATACGGACTGATGGTAGTCAAGGCACGACCATGACAGCCAAGATTTAGGTTTAGACACAGCTTGCAATAGTTATATTATTCCTGTCTACACAGGCCAAAGAAACCATAAAGTTTTAGCTTTTGTACCAAGTGCAGTAGCACTACGTCAATCATTAATGCTCTCTGTTAAGCAAAGGACCAGGAATACCATAGCAATAATTTTCTAAGAACGACTGTGCTAAAAAATAATTATTACAGAAGTGATAAAGAGCTAATCCAAACCCCAGGGAAGTCAACAGAAATACTTCCACTAACTTCAAGGGGCCCCACTTCTTCCATGTAAGGATCTACTCACCTACATATTTTTATGTTCTTGTTTTCTGAAGAGGTAAGAAAACTCTTTTTCACAAGCAAAGTAAATACAAGATGAATAGATTCTGAGCTCAGGGATGCCGAACTGAAAACTAGTAATCCCATCCTCCTTCTCCCTGGAACGTTTGGATGATGCACTTGGAATGTATTTTGAATACTTACAAAACAAATGTTTACATTCTCCTGTTAATATTTTCACCTGATAATATGTTAATTTTTATAAG